TCAGTCTTTGGTGGAATAAAACCTCTTTACATGGTCCCAGAAAGATGCAGTGTGAGCTGTTAATGCAGGCAGGTGCCCAAACCAAGAGCCAACTCTGACAACTGATGGAGCTAGAACAGTTTAAGAAACTTATCGTCTAAATTACAATTCCTACAAAAGAAGAGTCATAGGATATTCTCTGGGCCCTAGGTATTCTCTTCCTGTTCTGCCCTCCCTACATTTCCTAATTCAATTTACCAGGGGCAGATATGCATATAAATTGCTTTTTTTTGAACTCCTCCTATTTTCTCATGGTTTCTGTCTCTGGGCATTCCTTTGTCATGGCCAGTCCAGGAGGGATGCTCACAGGGATCACTGTGTGTAAGAGCAAAGTTTCAGCCACACATGTTGCACTTCCAGGAACTGGACTTGGCACAGACAAACACTTGCAGCACAAGCCCTTGTACACAGATCTACACAGCATCCAGAAAACATCAAAATAAGTCCTCAGCACCATTCAAATCCTCAGCAGTTGCAAATTAGCCATGATTACGCCTTTCAAAGAGAAGTGTGAAAAGTTGCCTAATACATCTCAATAATTAATAAATCTGAAGGCTTAATGATCTAATTGCAGATACCCTGAAAACAGAGAAACTCTAAATTAATCAGCGCGTTTGCAGGGAGCAATTCAGCCTAATTGCTCTGAGCATTTGCTTTCCAAACAATGGGCTTGCTCTGAGCTGACGAACACCCAGCACAGCACAGCACACACACATCCCTTTCTCCAGCACCCTGGTATCAGCACGGACCCAGGCACTGAATCAGAGAATCATAAAATATCCTGAGTTGGAATGGACCCACTAGGACCAAAGTCCAACCCCTGGATAGCCCAGAGCTACGAGTGGTGAGCTACTGCAGGTTCATTACTGCTGAAAGCTAAAAGTGTGTGCTATTCCACACCCTTTTTTTTTATTTTGTCCTTGGGATACTGAGCTTTGGCACAGCTCTCAGCGATGCTAGAGCTGCCCATGCAGCTCCAGGAGCCCACCCGGACCCTTTGGCAGTGAGAGCTGTTAGATTTGACAGCAGATGATGGTGTGCTCAGCACAGGGAAAGCAGGATGCCCACATCAAGATGATGGTATCTTCTGTACTACTGCACCCCTCCTTGCACCCTTCACACATTCAGCTGCCTGTATTATGGGAGGAAAGAAATGACAGGAAAACTGAAGTGCAGCAACAGGAAACAAATGAAACCTTAAAGAAAGAAACAGAGATGGGACACAAAGGTCCTGTTAAAAAAAAAAGAAACCTACAAAACACACAACCACGTGGAAAAGAGACACACACAAAGTTCAGGCTGGAGCAATGCAGTCAAAAGGGTTAAAAAAAAAAAAGACACAGAGACTAACCACAGCCACTCACCAGCTGACATCACATCCGAGAACTGTATTTCTTGTAACCACACCATTTAACAGATAAAAAAATCTACTCTGACTCTGAAAGCACAGGATTTGAAAACAGGAGGGGCTTCTCACCTTTACAGGCACTCAAAACCCAGTTTCTGCTTATTTTTACACCAGGAGAGCTGGGTTTATCCCCTGAAGGAAGGTAGCACTTCCTTACAGCTGTGGCATCACACTGCTGCTTGGTGCCACAGCATCACTGTTGTGCAATGGTAACTGGTACAGGCAGCAATGTGCACAGTCAGAGCAGCTCAGAGCCAGAAGGGAGCAGGATATTTCAGATTTCATTAGACTGACTCAAACGACCATGAGGCATCACCTTGTCCTGTGAAAGTGAACCAGCAGTTCAAAGCATGAAATTGTGAGCTTCACAACAAAGTGTCAACAAGGCCATAAAATCACTAAGGGTGCAACAAGATGACAACACTTAAAGTACTAGTGATTAAGAATGCTTCATTTTTTCTAAAAATGAGATATAATTATCTCTCTGTTCTGCAGAACTACTGCAGTGCTCCATAGATTCTTAATCAATAAAGTACATTTCTGCTCCCTTACTAGTTACAGCATTAGAACTACATAGACACAAACTCCTCAACATCACTGAGACACATCACATCACCTAGTAACAGTAATGCTGTAAGAAGCACACAAAAATCAAGCTTCTGGTGCTGTGTATATAAACACAGGGATCCATAACCTTCAGAGTTTGGTTCATCAGTCACAAGACCAACAAATGCAGGACACATGCACTGTCCGTGAATTTGCTGAGTAGAACCAGGAGTTTTCAGCAACAGCTGTTTCCAGTGGAAGATATATTTTCTCTTGGTCACACACCTTAGATTTATTTTTATATACACACACAGGTAAGTATTTACTACATTGAGGCAGAACAGAGGCAGAAACAGACTGATCAGTACAAGAGACTTTACTCATCTGCCAGGAGAGGGCATCACCCACCCACTCTGCAGGGCTGCAGCCCCTAAACCTGAGCTATTTAAACTGTTGTAAAACAAATCAAGGGGAAAAGTAGAGGTATAAGAAGAAAGAAGGACACCACACTTAAGTGCTGTTTTCCTTATCTTTGACTAGATACAAAATTTTTTAAAAAAAAGTGAACCGATGGGTTTGATGACTTGTTTGAGACTCTTTTTTTCCAGATAAATTCTGATAGTACAATAACTTAATATTAAAATTCAGGAAAATTACAAAATTTATGTTAAACTTGATTTAGGCTGAAGATGCTGGCATAGACTATTCACTCAGTCTGTGGTTTACATGGGAATATTTTGTTATTTAATGTGTAACATATTCTATGTAGCATTTGGAATTAGTTTCCGTCAATGACCACAAGGTATTACCACTTCATTTGAATACAAACAGGACATTGCTACTTCTACCTCAGAACTCTCTGCCACCACTCCCACCTAACCAGAGCATTTTTGAGGCTGCTCACACAAGGCTGACCACAGGAGGGTTCAAAATACAGGACCAGCAACTCAGACATCATAGAATATCCTGAGCTGGAAGAGACCCACAAGGATTGCACAAGTTTTTCACACTGAAGAGCTCTGGTATCTCTTGCACATGCAAAACCATGGGGAAGAGGGTCTGAGCCCTCTCTCAGCTGAGTCAGAGAGCTCTGCTGGGTTAGCTCTAAGGGTTTGCTGTTCCCAAAATGTCAATGAGGATGACTTGGCCTTCAGCCCAAGCCACAGTCTGACTTGCAGGACACACTGGCTGCAGACAACGTGTTCCTATATTTGGATTATTCAGAGTACACTGGTATACCCCAGTGGGGTGGCTGTATCTGGCATCAGGGCAGGGAGAGAGGAGGGAAGTCACAATCACCTAAGCCCACAAATTTTCTCTGAGGTTTTCTCATATTGAAGAGATGAATAAAGCTGACAACTTCCCACTTTTAAAAGCATGTTACAAGAAGCATATTGCAAGTGGTTGTAGGTCAAGCCTGAGTGTCATGCAAAAATGCCAAATAACCAGTACAACACAGAGACCTATAAAGATGTGCATCAGGCATCATTCGTGTGCTGTTTTTTCTTTAAGGAGCCATCACTGCAGCATAATGGTGACTGAACAATAATCAAGTCATTATTTTCTCCCCTCCCACTGCTTGTGCTATAAAAAGCAGGAATTTTATTGAATGATGTATCACCTCACATACTCAGTTTACTAAATGAGTGGTCATTTGCACAAAAGAGACTCATCAGAATGTTGGGGGTTTATTCCCTTATGTTGTTTCACCATGTTGTCCCATGCTTCACAAAGACAAGCATTTGCTTTCTTACACAACAAAACACAGCCTAGAGCGAAATATGCTCTGTCTTCTCTAGAAATATTACTCTGCTGGAACTGCTCATTTCTAGCATCTTTTTCATACAAGCAGTTGGATGTGCCCTGGCTTGTGTAGCTTGCTAGTAAATCTGATGAACTGCTACACTGTTAGGAAATACAGACTTCTGTAAAACCAATAAAGATCTTAATCTAAGTATTCGTTCACTCCTTCCAAAAACTGGAAGGAAAAACAAACACACACTTGGCCAGAACCTACTGTTTCACGAAGACATGAAAAACCAGCATGGAAAAAGTTAACTGAGATAGCAGATAATAGAAAACCCAATAAGCACTCCATGTGAGACATTTCTAGATCAGATAGGTGCCTGCAGGTGCAAAGCTTCACAGGCCTTTAGACTGTGCAAGATGATTCCCTTTAAAACTGTGTGAATGAACCCTGTGGCTTCATGTCAAAAGAAAGAAACTGCTCACATTTTGCAACACCAAAGTATCAGAACTGTTTCCACATGCAGGAAAAAAATACGAAATAAAGATTGGACTATATAGAAGAGCTCTCTGACAGGTTCAGATCAAAGGTCTTGGAGCAGCTGATGCTGCAGAGTCCTACAGCCCACAGAGAACCTCTGGCAGGACAGTTCCTCCCTCCACAGCAAGCAGAGAAACTACCAACTGGCTGAACTTTCACTCACTGTTGCAGCAGCCTGAAGAAAATTCAGGTTAACATAAGGCACTTTCACTTAACTTTTCCAGGAATTCCCCAAATCTTCTGCAATTTATTTGATACGTCATTTGGGTGTGGGGTTTTTTGTATGTTGTCTACGTTCACTCACATCCCAAATTAGAGGGAGGATTGTTGGCTTATGGCCCTGCTCCTATGGTTTCCCTTTTATTAACAGCTTTGTAGATAACCCCAAAAGCATTCCTAGGGCAGCTCCATCATTTAATAAATCTCCAAATATTCTTTGGCTTTTCTTTTTAAGCTCAAATAACTTAAGTGCAGCCAAGAAGGTGCTTTGCAGCTGCATAGTCAGGCAGGAGGAGCAGCAAGGAGAAGGCAGCTCCTTCCTCTGTGTATCTAAGGTGGATAAACCAAATCGTTGAGTGCTCTGGCTTAGACAAGAGACACAAGTCAATGATTTGCTGCATTGGAGATAAGGAAAAAATCCAACTCGCTGCCAAACTGAAGTCAGTCAAAGGAGAGAACTATGTGAATTTCAAAGGAAAGCAGCTGAAAGGTGGGGCTCACCACAGCGATCTCTGATAACCAGGTTCCGGCCTTCCTTCAGGTGGATGGTCAGCAGGTAGGCAAAGGGGCTGGGCAGGTCACTCAAGCAGTCATTTGCTTCCTCCAGAGCCTAAAGAGAACAAAGAAATCAGTCACCACTACACACCTCCTGAAGCAGCTTGTGAATAAGGCAGGTGTGTGCTCGGTGTTGCAGAAACAAAGTTCTCATCTTTCCTTAGGGCAATCTTTCACAGAAAGGTTAAAAAAAAAAAAAGGAAAAAAGAAAACTATTTATTTCCCAGGCTTTATTTCACTATGCAAATAGCATATGAGCATCAGGTATCTTCAACAAAGCAAGGGGTAACACAAGAAGGGTTCTCCCTGAAAACGAGTAGTGATATTAACAATCACAAATGTATGAACAAGTTTTCAAAGTCCTATCAGCTTACTGCATGTTTTTTTTCTAGCTGCTTCCGTGCATTCATACAATATATCAAGTTGGAAGAGATCCATAAGGATCAGAGTAATCATCTGATAACCTCATGAGGAAGCACACGTTTCACTTAGCTACCAAGAGGGCAGCATTTGTACAATTCTAAAAGAGAGAAACCCAACAGCAGGCAGTGCTTGCTGTGAGGTTGTGCAAAAGCAAACTCGAGAGGATTCTTGGTCATCAGAGATGCTGCCAGGGTTACACACCTCAGCAGCAGCATCCAGCCCAAACCTTCTGCGAAAACAGCCTCTGGACAGCGCTTGAGAGGCTATCAGAGGGCAAAGGTAGAGAAGTTCATCCAGAATAGGCAAACATGCTTTACATGAGAATAACATGTCAAAATTGCCAATGCCTTTTCACACTGCCCTAAAGCTGTTTTTGTTGCCTGTCAAACCCTATAGCTGTGTTATTTGCTGTATTTACTTTAATACAGTTTGTTCCTAGGCTGTTAATTGAGTATTTATGCTGATGCTTTCATCAGTTATAAGTACAATATAGATATAATAGAATATTTCAAAAAAATCCAGAAAATTTAGGTCTACTTAAAACATTAGCAACCGCCTTGAACTACAAAAAAGCTAAACAACAAAAACACAAAACCACCACTAAACAAACAAAACTCCCACAAACCAAAAAGAAAAACCACAATGGACAAATCTATAAACACCTTCTTCATCTGCTGGGTGTTTAAATTTGTAAGAAGCAAAGAACTTGAAGCTAAAATATATTGTGCTTCTGATCAAGTTTCAAAATGCTTTAAAATGACAGGACTTACCATTTGGTCATCAAAAATTTGAGATGATAGGGAAGAGTCAAGATCCATTTCTCCACATTGATACTATAAAATAAAAGATACAATTATAATTAGATAACAGTAATGCAGGAAAGAAAATAGTCCCAGTATCACTCAAAAAATTTCTCATACATATATGTAATGAGTGAATATTTTTTTTTTACTTCTGCTTACAGAACCTTCTCTCCACAATTTAGATATATATTTCTTTTTCCTGTTTCACAGGAACTGCATGTAGTCTCTTGAGTTTAATCCAAGAAAATAGGTGTCTGCTTCCAGCTATCAGAATAAATTCTTCTCATCCCCAGTACTGCTCTGTGCCTTCAGTGATGATGGTCCTTACCACAAACTCTCCTGACATCTGAAGGTTATTGCATCTGGTGACTGGCTGCTCTCTGACTTGACTACACTTCTCTTTCACCATCCAAAAGGCAAGTTCCAGGAAAAGGGTTTTTTTTGTTTAGTTTGGGTTTTTTGGTTTGGTGTTTTTTTCTGGTTGATTTTTGTTTGTTGGGTTTGTGGGGTTTGTTTTTTGTTTTGGAAAAAAAAAAAGGCAAAAAGAATGTTCAGGGGAAAAGCTAGAAAGAAATGGTCAAAGGGAAAGGTATCCTGGTTTTGGCTCGGATACGGTTAATTTTCTTCCTAGTAGTTGGTATGTGTTGTGTTTTGGATTTAAGAGGAGAATAATGTTGATAACACATTGATATTTTTGTTGTTGCTGGCCAGGAACCACTACTCAAGAACTGGCTGGGCATCAGTTGGCAGATGACAAGCAATTCCACTGTGTATCACTTGTTTTGTAACTTTCAATTCTTGTATAATTTTTTTGTTAGTATTATTATCCCTTCCTTTTCTGTTCTCTCCTGTCTTTATCTCAGTCCACAAATTCGCCCTCCTTTCCCCTATACTCTCCCGTATGGAGGATGCTGGTTCCCACTGAGGGAGGAGTGAGAAGCTTTGTCATATTTAGCTGCCTGTTAGGTTAAACCATGACAAAAGGGAAAATTTACCTCCCCCCTCTTTCTACAGTAACTGGAAGATCCAAAGGATTTTCGTCTAGTGCCCGGCACAGGAGAGGAAGTCAAACATTTCTTCCTAAATACTGACTCATCCAAAAACTTGAGGCTACAGTGGCATGGTGTTTAGACTGCCTGGTCACATGGAAGGGATTCATCAGTCAAGACACCTCTGGTGATATTCTGACTGTTAGAAGAGTCTACGATCATCATTTAAGCTGGAGAGGACCCACATGCCTGGGCAAACCTTTTGGTCTAATGCAAGGCAATCACAGCTCATTCAAATACAAAGAACAACCTCAATCTACAGAAATGCACACAAGGTGGAATTCGATCCTCATGTGAAAATGTTATTATGTGCAGTGTGGTAACATCCAAACCTCCCAGATGAGAGCAGCATTGTGTGGAGCACTATGGAAATATTCAAAAAAAGAAACAGCTCCTGCACCAAAGTACATAAATCTTAGAGATACCGATATGCTGAAATAAACATAAATACGCTTTTGTGTAATTCTTCTCCTCCTCCTCCTCCCTCCAAATACACATATTGCATATCAGGAAGTACAGTAATCCACCATTGCAAGTAAAATTTCCTTTGCATGACAGACAAAATTTAACATTATGGTTCCCACAGTAATCGTAACTTGGCCACCTTGCAAAAACACATTAAAAGTAGAAAAATTATCATCATAAAGAGCAGCAGAAGAATTTTCTCGCACAACAGAGCTGAGTTACAGCTGCTAGGGGAACCCTAACTTTGAATTTTCTGACTAGTATGCATAAAAACTCACTTGTGTGCATTAAACCTAGTGTTTCTTGGAGTCTCTGACTTCACAGGAATCTCCTTCAGGCACCATCATTGGCACTGATAATGGTTTCTCTTTACAGCTTGTTTTACATGGCACAAACACAGGATCAAAGAACGGCACTGAAATTACAATGGTTTTGAAAGTACTGTCTTGACTAGCTTGATATCATTTATAATAAAAACATTACCCTCAAAGTTATGAGTTTGTCTTTATTCTGCTTTGTGTTTACTTGCATTACATCCACAGATATTGAACAACTATAATTTTAACTAAAAAAGTTAAGGTTTTTTTTTTATTTTAAGCTTCACATAATGTAAATTACTACTATTCTAGGTATTCTATGCAATTCTCATTGCCTATTCTAGATGCAATGAGATCAATGAATATAGTTAAAAGTGTCTGTGAAAATATGGTCCTGAAATCTTGATATTTATCCAACTACTGTAACACTTTTGAACTTTAAAGTATAAACAAATGTGGCCACATCCAGCAGGGTCACAGTCCCATATGTAACTGTGTGAAAACAAATCAAACAAGAGGGTATATATATGAATATATATATTTATATATACAAATAAATAAAAAGTTCCTCTTGACAAGATTTGCAACCTCTGTCTCATCTTGTTTTCTGCAGAATAATGATTAAAAATACAAGGGCAATGAGTACATCAGCAATGGAATGAGGCTTTGGTTTGCCAGTGACTCACTACAAAGTGTTGTCAAGATGATGAAGAAGTGGTATCAGAGCACTTCAGTAATGACACATGGCCACAGCCAAAGCTCAGCTGCAAAACGTGACATGACTGAGGCCCTTTTCATCCTGGACCAAGCAGGGAGGGGCTTAATGCAACTTCAGTTGCTTCTTCACCCTTCAGATTTGCCTTGTTGGGATGCAACAGAGAACAGAAAGAAAATTTCTTGAAAAATGGAAAAGTGGTATTCGTGGCAAGAGCCATCATTGAAGGCGACACTTCCTGAGCACTGACAGCTCTGTACGAAGTTCAGACTAATGCGAAAAACCACAAGCCCACACTGAGCTCCTGCATGAGGTTTGGAAAGTATCTCATGATATTGAGTGACCAAAGACAACCGGGAAATGAGTAAGTGGCATGTGACAAGCAATTCAGGGGGAAAAAAGCTCAACCTACATTTTTGCTTTTTTTAGTTTGTTTTGTTCCAGGGATCTGCCTTCCTTCTCATTTACCTCCCTGAGCAGTGAGTGATGCTCACAAAAGAACAATATGAACTTGTCGTGCACTTCACAGCAACCCCACCCACTATTCCGAGTCCAACAACCTCCGTAACAAACTGTTCCCATCCAAGGCATACAGAGAACAAATCCTGTAGCTGTTCAATTCAGTACAAGAAAAGCTGAATGGAGCTGAACTGAGGTGTTCCTAGAATCATAGAAAGGTTTGGGTTGGAAGGAACCTTAAAGATCATCTAGTTCCAACCACCCTGACACCTTCCACTATTGAATCGGGTGAAAACCAGATTTTATCAATTTTGCTCA